TTTTATTCTTTTTTTCTTGACTCTCTTTCAGATCAGTGACTTCCTGTCTGGACGCTCATCTCTGACCATTAACCTGGGAATTGGTGCCCATGTGATGTATGTGCAGCTCCAACTGTCTGCGCAGAACGTGGCGGAGCTGCAGCAGCACCGGGACTTGAGAGCCGGCACCAGCAGCCAGCTTCGAACTGGCCTGCCCACTGCTGTCAGGATGAACCACCCTGACTCTGCCTCAGCCTCCACCAACACCACAGGATCCACTACCTCACTTGCTTCCCAAACCTCCACTCAAGCCCCGAACTCTCCTGACTCTATATCCTCAATCCAGTTCAGTGCTCAAAGACCCAGGACTGCCTTTAATTCAACACCTCCTGCTTCCCACTCATCCACCACTGCCCCTGCTGTGGGCTCATCTCCCCACTCTACCCATGCATCTCTTCCTGTTCTTTCAACCCCTTCTTTGCCTTCTGGTTGTCCACATCCCAGCGGTCCACTACAAGCAGCCACACCAGTCTGCTCACCTGTTCCCACCAGCTCCATTCCTGAACCCCAGAGCCCAGTGCCAGCCTCAACCTTTAAAGAGGTTAGCCTGACATATTCTGCTGCCTACATTCATAATACACAAAAGGCTATGTATTATCATCATATACTAGTGACAGTGATATATTAGTGACATAATAACCCAGTTTAGAGTTCAAAATGTCCAGTTTTTAATAGTTCTACTGGTTTGTATGCGGGAGATCATCTTTTATCGTTCTTGTTTTACAGAGTAATGTTCGTGCCTCAGCCTCTGCAGAGCTGTGTAAGCAACCAGGAGCAGTCATAGAAAGTTTTGTGAGCCACTCTCCAGGCATCTTCTCTGGGACTTTTTCTGGTAAGTGTGTGTGAGCAGCAGAGGCCTAAAGCTGACATCGCAACACAATGAGAACATAGATAGATATAGAATAGTGAAACTGCCCATTTTAATTGTGTATATATATATATATATATAGATTATATATTATATTGCATTCAGATGCTTTCTTTATTTGACCAAGATATTCAGTTTATTACTATTACTACTACTATTAACTTAAGTTGAATCTAATCTAATCTAATCTATATGGCAAAGAAAAGCAGCAAATCAGTTTGTACTAGTTCTTCCTTTTCATCCACTATCCATCGCTCCTCTCTCATTTCCCCTTACTCTCTTCTAATCCCATCAGGCACTCTGGCCCCATGCAGTCAGAGCAGCACCAGCCATCCTAGAGGTGGCATCGCCATCATTCTTCAGATCCTTAATGACCTCATCAGAGCTGCATACCACCACCAGGGGGCTCCACCTGCCCTCCCTCATCTTCACTGTCCTGCTTCAGTCAGCCAGCTGCTTACAGCCGAGGAGCAAGACAAAGCAAAAAACAAAACACTGAAGGCCCAGAGGGCAGAGAGCCTCAGTAAGACTCCAGGTGAACTTTTTTTTGTAAACAGTGGAATATTATACACATGAACACTGGTGGAGTTACTAAATATTGCAGACATGCATGCATACATTCCTTATGCAATTAAAGTTGGCCTAAATGGTACCAACCAAACTTTTGCTGCTGTAATAAAAGGCTGTATTCAGTCATGCATGAAGTGTTTAGTGTGTGTGGGAGATTATGACGTGACCTGCTCTTCTTGTAGTCTTTTAATTCCTTCCCTGTATTACCTCGGACACCATTTTGACTTATTGAGTTCTTTCTCTTTTGATTCCTTCTCAGTACTTCTGGTCGTTTGTGTGTACTTTACACATTTTCTGTGTGTACTTGTATAACAAAGCATAGTGTGGGCTCTCTTTAACACCATGATACTCCCATTTGTCAAATATTTGCCCTGATGAAGGACTAGTAATTGAAACCCTGGCTTTATCCTTAAATTATTCCATTAGATCTGTGTTTAGAGCCTTCATCTTTCCACCTTTTACTCTTACCACTCCTATCAAAACATTTATTCATAAATATATTTCTTATGATAAATTTGATTATTCATAACAGAACACACCAAACAGTAACTTTATTTCTGTGTAGCGTGCCTAACATGTTGTTATTTCTTCCTTCTCTTGTAGGTGAGAGTCACACCTCCCACTCATCCACACAGGAAAATCAAGCACTGCACTGTAAGCTAGAGCGCCTGCAGTTTTTGATGCATCAGAGGAGTCTTCGCAGGCGGACTCGCAGGAACTCGCACCTCTCGCAAACGTCTCACCCATACCAACATCGTCACCATTGTCCCTAGTCTACTGGACAGAAAAAGGATCCACCCATTGTGATAGCAGTGGTAGCTTTTTACTGAGTGGGGGCCAGAGCTGACCTCTGACCATGTGGAATAGGTGAAAGAGCAGCAGAGCATATGCTTTGTTGCTATTTTTACGCCATGAGCATTTCTGAAGAATGTAAACCCAAAAGATCCGAAGACTCTGTCTCATGTTGCTGTCACTGTACTGAGCATGTTACTTCATGCATACCAATGGCTTTCATTGTTATGTAGCATATGTCACAAATGTACATTTTAATGTTAATCATCTTGGTGTTTTGTACAAAGACTGTATGTGTGTTTATGTATTCCAATGCCTTAACTGTACATGTCTTGAATGTAATCTGTATGTTTTGTTCTGTGCAGAGGATGTTCCTCTAAAATGTTTTACTTATGCAAAATTAAGATGTAAACATAAAAAAGAAAAAAATATGCAAAGAATAAAGGAAAAAAATAGAAAAAACCTGGACAAATTTGCGTGTCAAGCCCTTTTCAGACACAGGACATTGCTGCCTCTATTTGTTAAAGTGATGTCTTTTTGTCATTCATAAATTTTCTTTATAGCTGCATTCAGGCCTGACATTTACAGCCACATTGCTCACATGATATTTTGCTCCTGATGTCTGAGAGTGAGTTGCTGAAAAGTAATGATACCAAAAAGGAAGGCCCTCAGTTGTCTCACAGGCTGCATTGCTCCATCTGGTAACAAAGAACTGATCGAGTAAATAAGCCCTGACATGAAAGAAACAAGTACCCCTTGACAACAGTGAGTGTTGTACTTCTTGCTTAAGGCACTGAACAACAGTTGACAGTTACACAATGAAACCAAGTGCAAACTACAAAACTTTCTACACATGGCTCACACCACAGCACCTATTTTGTCATAGTGATGTGATGGTGCACAAAACAAAGAAAGTTTACTGACTGCAAAATGAATCCACGACTAAAGCAGCTTGGTCGTGATGTGCAACAGAAACCTGCAACAAGTCACAAAAGAGAACAAGACACAACAGCAAAGTTTATCTCAAACAAACTTGAGCATAAATGTGTTTACATCCCACCTCAGGCCTGTGTTAGTGAGGCCTTACTACACCTGGCTGACCAGATAACAAACCCCGCTCATTGTTCTCTGGGACTTTAACAAAGAAAACCTCAAACACAAACTTCCAAAGTACAGATCACATATTAAGTGTCCACCAAGGATACTAACGCACTAGACCACTGCTTCATCATCTCTATTCACTGTCTGGTTCATATTATCGCAACCTACAGACAGAAACTTAAATCTGCTTAGCATATGATCAAGACTGTGAGAAGGTGAACCAACGAGTCAAAGCTGGAATTACAGGCCTGCTTTGGCTGCACTGATTGTGAGTGGTTTTGAGGCTGCATTCACTAAATGAACTCACTGAAACTGGGACATGTTGCATAAGTTTTTGTAAGTATGTGTGTGTGCCGACTAAGACCTTCTGCACATACAAACCACAAACACAAACCCTGGTTTACAGCAAAACTCAGGCAGCTCCGTCAGACCAAGGAGGAGGCCAACCGAAGTGGGGACAGAATCCTCTACAACCAGGCCCGAAACACGTGGACAAAGGAGGTCAAAGCAGCAAAGAGGTGCTACTCTGCATCAGTGTGGAGAGGCCTGCAGGACATCACCCGCTAAGGACAAAAGACACGACAACCATCCCCCCACACTACTGTGGGGAACCATCAACCGGCTGACGATTTGAATGTGTTTTACTGTAGATTTGATAAGCCCACATTCACACCCCTCCCCCCGGCTCCAACATCATAGAGCTACCTATACCCCCTGCCACCCTCTCACCTCTCTCCACTGACCCCCCACCCGCACTCAGGATCTGTGAATAGAATGTGCACATAAATATTTAAATGTTACTTTGCAAGATTAACTTTAGTTTTATAATTCTTCTGACTACACTGTAACAACTTTTATCAACTGATAAAAGTGCAGTCAGGAAGCATAGGACTTGAGCTGAGTGTTGTTCTCACTAAATTGCGTTCTTATCAAACTGTGAAATTCTTTTCATCATTGTTTTGTCTTCCTGGAAAGAGCGTCTGAAAGGCATGTTCGAACTAAAATACCACATTAGAGCGAGATACCTTGAACTGGAAGGGGAACAAGTCATGTGGGGGCAGTTTGGTTGGATGTTTATAAAGAAAATACATTCTTGTGGGGCTAAAATTGTGTCATCCACCACATCCTTTACAGACCATGCTTCAATCTAAACATGCATGCTCACAATCCCTACTTTGTGACTATTTTGTATCAGAATCAGAACCCCTACAAGGAATTTGCCTTGGTGCGTTGGTGCATAAAAATAACACAAAAACCAAGTACTTTTTGAAATATAAATAAATAAAGATAAAGATAGAAAGATCTTTATCTTTGTTGTCAAATATGCAATTTATACAAGTGTTACATGGGAACTATGAAGCCTCCAGCCCACATACACCCAGAGTGAACATTTAAGTAAGACACATGTTGTTTCTAGTTTTGTAGCTTGTGAAAAGAAAACTATTTGGATATTCAGATTCATAAACATGTCTCAATGGGTAATATCAGGCATTTCTACTCTGGTCAGAATCCATAGAGATACTGATGCTTTTGTAGCCCATAAAACATATACTTTTAAACAAAATAAAAACCATGACTGGAGGACACTTTAAAGCCACGCTGTTGTACCGGCCCCTTGCAGTAGGAGGGCGGTACGTTTCTGGGTGAACCGCCAATAAACCAAAAGAAGAATACGTCATCACGCCGAGCGCTGAAAAGCGGAGAGCGCTTTCTCTCCTCTCTCATTCGACCTGCAGCCCCGCTCCTCATCTGTTCCATACCTGCCAGGGAAAAGGTAATGGCTACTTCTAGGGTTTTTTATTATTTTTTTTTACCGTTTGTTAGACTTGTTAACTCTCGTCTGTATTTGTAAGGTCGTGCTAATTTGTTCGCAGTTGGTCTGGTGTTGCATTTTTGATGTTTTGTTTGAAATAAATGAGCATTAACGCTAGAAAGGATGTGTGGACGTTAAAGCAGTCGGATAATGTTAGGCCGCGCCAAAATACATAACCTTGTTTTTCTGTTAATGTGGCGGAAAATGGCGTTTAAAACTGGATGAAATCAGACTACCAGTCTTAATTTTAGCGGCTTTTTAAAAAAATACAATTATGTAACCACGAAATCGGGCATCTTGGTTGATGGGAAGCTAGTTGCTAAATCAGTCAGCGAAACAAAAGTGAGCACCATGAGCTCGGTGCTACAAAATGGCGCTGGAAGGAAAATTGTTGCTAACCTAGCTAATCCGCTAACCAAACGGCACCACGTTTACGGGCCTGGGGCCTAGCTCGACGTGTGCTCGACAATGGCGGCAATTCTTTTAGCTTGACATTTATTACAGTTTAACTTTATTTTAGCTCAAGTATGAATCGACGCATCGTTATTAGGGACTATATGAAGTAGTTTAAAGTAAAAATACGCATGTCGGCCAATAACGGCCGTCTCATGTAACGGGGACTGATGACCTACTTTCGCACTGCGTGAGCTGACCGTATTTACCGTCTTTACCGTATTTACTGTTTCTCAACGCGGCAACTGGGTTGGGTTAGCTGAACGTTTCTTTTGGCTTTAAGTAAGTCGGCGATTTGTTTTTTCCTTCTAGCTACTCTTAAAGATGTCGGACGAGGGTAAATTGTTCATCGGAGGACTGAGCTTCGAGACCAACGAGGAGTCTCTGGCTGCGGCCTTCGGCAAATACGGAACCATCGAAAAAGGTAAATCCCTCGAAGCCTTTTATTTACATTTAATCGGTTGTAAATTATTTCTATGCACACGTGAAGCGATTTTTAAATCGCTTTTTGATAATGCAATTTTTTAAAACGTGTTCGTTTCTTCCCTCCATTAGTGGATGTGATCAGAGACAAAGAGACGGGAAGATCTCGCGGTTTCGGCTTTGTGAAATACGACAATGCAGAGGATGCAAAAGACGCAATGACGGCGATGAACGGCAAGGTAAATCAACAAAACATAAATACCCTTTTATTATATAAACATTTTTATTCATTAAAAAAAATTATACAAAGTTTTATCCACTTAGGCTTTTGCAGAACTGTCTACTCACATATCCATGTGGATTATATTGTAGAAATATGTAAAGCCACATGGTTGATTGTTTCAAATATGGGGTTTTAATTTTTTTTTTTTTTTTTTGCTGCAGTCTCTAGATGGTCGGGCTATTCGCGTGGATGAAGCAGGAAAGGGCGGACGCACCAGAGGAGGATTTGGATCAGGCCAGAGAGGAGGCAGGTTCAGTGGATCCCGGGGGAGAGGTGGGAGAGGTTACTCAAGAGGTGAAAACCTGTTGTCGAAATTGTGGCCATGACTTTGTCTAACTTACTTTTAACTCCTCCACATTTCTTATTTGCTACTATCGAATTATCTTTGGAGGTGGGGGATACAATGGCGAAAGGAGCTATGGAGAGAGGAGTTATGGGGACAGGAGCTTCGGAGGTGGAGACAGGAGCTTTAGCAGTGGTGGAGGTGGCGGCGGCGGATACAGGAGTGGAGGATACTCTTCAGGTGGTGGCTACAGAGAAAATAGGTAAGGCACTTGAAACCACAGTGCATAATTATACATGGTTTTTCCACCCAAGCATTCATGTAATGTAATAAATGTTCTGTTTAATTGTTGTAATTTCTAGGGGTCAGGGTGGATATGGTGACCGCTCTGGAACCTACCGCGATGGATATGATGGCTATGGTAAGCATGAATGATATGCATTTGTACTGTGTGTAGACTTATGTTGGGGCTGTTTTCACATTTAAAAGCAAAATTTAACTTCACCTTCACACTTAACATCGACTTGAGAGCAGTTCAATGGAAACACCCAAGATTGCACTCGTTCATAGGTCATATTAGAGTTTTTCACAAAGATTTTTAAACGAAATCACACAAAGCGTCGTCACATTAATTTTAATCACTTCACAGCCCCAACATATGAGAACTTGTCTCATGAATGCCCCTCCGTTTTGTACCTGAGCCCAAGTTGATGCCACCCTGTATACCGTTGCCAAATTTTGCTAGCCTCCCCCAGCCCCACTCTGAGAGGCTGGCAAACAATGAAAGACTTAAGCAAATGCTGAATGTTATTCTGATACTCGTATCTAAGCTGATGGATCCCCTTATGCAAAAACGGAGGGAGGGTTTTTGGACTGTCTTGTGGGTTGAGGGGATGTTGTGAAACTCCAGTGTTGGAACTTTCAGTGTCTTTACCTGTGTGCCCACTTCTTATCCTCAGCTGCACACGAGTAAACATCTCCCTGATTCAAGATCATCACTTGGCTGGCTGTATTTCAAAGATGCGCTCCTCAAGAAAAATGTCCACGTGTTATTGCTGACCTTAGTTTTGTAGTTCTGTTGTAGTAGCTCAAGCATCTTAAAAAATGTAGCCATGAGTTATGGTCATTCCTTAACAAACCATGTTACAAATTACAGTTCAAGACTCTTACCATGCTTGATTGGGCACCTTTATTCCTCAAAGGTCGTTTGTTAACTAAAAGGCATCTGTGTAATCTGATTAATACTTTTAAGTCCCAACTTGGGGATCAAACAACGGCTCTCCACATGGCTTTTCGTTGAACGGCCACTACATCGCTGTAGACTTTTTGTCCAGCACGTTAAAGTGTCTCCTGATTTTGATTCCTTATTTAGTTTTTGTTTTTTTATATTGAAATATCCGATGGGGCTTGTTTGTTTTTTTTCCCTTATTTTCCCCTGTCAGCCTCTGACTGACCTACCTCTTGCCAGGTTTTAAACTGAGTGAGGAAAGAGATCTAATTGCTCGTAAACAGGCTTTTGGGGGATTGTGCTAAATTCCTTTTACTATTAAAAAGAAAAAAAACTTAGTTTAGCTGAGGCTCCTGTGTGTTCAATTTCCCAAAAGCGTGAATTCCTTTCAGACTGGTGAACTACACCTCCGAAGTGGCCGGCTGTTCATGAAGTCTGTCCAAGGTATCTTCTGTGCTCTGCTCAACATCTGCATTTTAAATGTGCTGTAAAATGGACTAATCTTGTTTAAGTGATCGAAAAATGTAACTTCGTTTCCCCAAAGTAAAATCTCAACCGGGAACAGTTTTGTACTTTATGTTCTTTGTATGATCAACTTTTTTTTTTCTTTGTCAGTTTGGCTTCATGGAGCCTATTAAACAGACTGTGGAAAATAATCTCGATTCTTTTGCCTTTCAAAACCATCGCATGGGGGAGTTTAATGCTGCGTGAGAACCAATTTACCTGCTCGAAGCACTGAAATTAAAACGTGGATTTCTGAAGGCAGTTAAATTGGCAGTTTAGTTGGTTTCACTTGATAAGATGGAGGGATAAGCTGTAAATGGGGTTAAAAGAGTTCATTTGACATGCTGCCTGTCTGGGGTTTCTAAGATTCAAAACTAAAGATGGCTTTTGGCCCAGTGACTTCCTTACAGGTCTCAAACCATCTATTGTCCAAATGGGTTTTGACAGGCAACTTAAATGTATTGAGATCAAAAAATTGAATAAGCGCCTAAAAGTGGCACATGGAAATGCTGGGGAAAACATCAGCTGGTGTCTGGTCATGTTAATGCTTCATTACGTTCAAGAGGTCAGCCACTTCAAAAACCTACAAGTCCTTGGAGAGTGAAGTGTTGCGCCTACCAACAAGTGCTCATCAGAGATGAAAGCTGCTCTTGCCTAGGTCATATGTGGAGAAAGTAGGCCAATGCACGTGAGGTAAAAATCTCCTTTTGCTTTGCTCACATCCTTCAAACTCAGTTCTCATTGTTTCCATGAATACCTTCAAGTTAGTCGTTTTTAGTCCTCTGCTTCAGATGTCGCCTACAACATGCCATGGCCCCTTCCCCGATTCTGATTCATAAAGAAAAGTCCATTGAGAAAAATGTTTCTATGAAGCTCCTCTGGATTGTAGTGTTCCACCTCCTGAGTCCACCAAACAGAGCGTTGGCCTCTAAGTCGTGGGTAGTATTGTGCTCAGTCCACTTCTGTTCACTGCACTAGTCCTCAAATTTGCTCCAGTAATGCCCCTCAGCAGTCCTAATTGACGTGCAAGGTGTCTAGACTGTATTCAGATTTTCTTTGTACTCTTACATATGAATAAGTGGTGAGTTTCAGACTCATGAATAGGGTTGCATGCATTTTATTGTGACTTGTCTTGTGTCAAATGGTAGTTGCCAGGCTTAATCCATCTCTTAATCCTTTTCTTTAGATTAAACTGACTGTCAGAGGCTTCAATGGATCTCCTCACAGTTGAAGTGTGCAGCTTTGGATGGGAGTGACTGATGCTCTTATCAGGTAAAGTATTGTAAATCAGACATTTTGTTTTGTTGTAGGTGCAACATTTTGTCTGACTGATTGCAATCTCTTACTACCCTGTTACAGGTCCAGCATGCTGCAGCAGTACAGCTGCAAGCAGTGGCTACATGGAGGAACCTGCCAGGATCCTGCCAAGTAGAAGTTAAAGGCCTTTTGTGAAAATCAAATGTTGGCTTGCCTGAGGCACACTTTTCAAATGTAATGGCTGCTGCTCAGTCATTGAGAAGCCGTTTTAAGTGCGGCAGGAGGTCAGGTGTTCAGTCATAGTGCCTGAACAGTTTCCTTTGAATTCAGTGTCTTCTCTGTAGTAAGGAGTTCCTTTCTAGCAACAGGCCTACATTTAAGATGTTTTACTGTAAGGACCATTGTGATGCTAATTAACAAGACACTTTACTTTTCTACTGTTTCATCTTTTTGTATTGTAATTTCAAAATTTTACAAATAAAATGATTGGGGGGTGAACTACAAACTGCTCATTGTATTCTTTAAACACTCTTATAATTGCCTGAAAATGTTCAACTGGTGATTCATTCATGAGTCATTGAGTTTGCATACATTTTAGTGTTCACATTAGATTTTTAGTGGACTTAAGTGAGTTGTGTAGTTGACGTATTAATACAAGGTGTTATGACACAGGGATACTTCAGTTAGGCTTGAAATGTGAGCTTCAGCAACACAATGTAACACAGATCACAAAGCCCCATGTTTGATAGTATGTGGTGGACTGGCTCACCTTTCAACACTAGTTGTACTAAGTAATGATCAGGGTGCCCCCCTGATCAGTTGGAATCAAAGCTGTAGATGTGAATACTGAAAATCAGTCTTGAATGTAACAAGTTCTTTTGTTCACGTTAGTGGATGTAAAGGATTTAATTTAAGATTGTCACAAGTCAAACTAGTTCTTTCAGAGTATATGTGCGTAATAAGTATTTTGATGTTCCTGGAGTTTATTTAAAGTACTTAATGTATGTGTGGTATACCTTGTCAGCTCAATATGCTTCCTGTAATGTACCTTAAAGGAACTAGTGAACATAACTGTCAGTTAAATGTAGGTAAATACAACATTTGCCTCTCAAATGAAGTGGTGTCAAAGTAAAAAAGTGTCAGGTCAAATAACAAGAGGTACATGATGCGTGTAATGCAACCAAAACAGAAAAAAATAACGGGTAAACCAGATTGAGGTACAGAAAAAAAGGTTACTTTAATATCGAACATTTACAAGCTGAATTGAGCAAGGGCTCCATGTGGTTCTGCCTGTGGAAGGTGGTGAATCTCAGGACATTGTCTTGGTGGAGCTTACACGTACCACAAGAAGCCATATTGCTTGTGCAAAAGCTCCTCACGGGGCCGGAGGTTGTACAGCTCCACTGATGTAGGGGCGATCCAGCGATCTGTGTGGAAGACGCTCTCACCAACCTGCACAGGTGTTAGAGACACAGTTGGCATAAATACAGAAACACAGGCATTAACCAGCAACTGGGTCCGATGAATTTGCCACCTTAGATTGGTACTCTTCTCTTTTGTTCTCACAAAAAATAAAAATAGGATGTTTACTGATACCATAAAGATAAAGACTGAATGTATTATGTACAATGGCTGCAATGTGCAATTATTCTATACCAACAAAGCTTTGTATTATTAACTTGATAGGTCATTTGAAACTTCACTCTTCTTCTTCAATCACACATTCAATATGTTATCTTTACAATTTTGTTTATAATAATTCTTTCAGTCTAGTAGGAAAACATTCATAGAAAAGGGTTTTGTGTGTGCAACTACCTTACCTACTACTTTGTCATGCCAACAATTCACCATTTGATCATAAAGAGCAGACTAACTAATCGGTGAATGTTAAAGTAAAATTGTTGATTTAGTGATCAGTGACATTTATTGTGGTAACAAATATAGATAATTAAATGTATCAAGTGTGAATCAAAATCCAGAGTTTTTAAAAGCCTAAATATCTTTCTAAATATACCTAAAATATAAAATATGGCAAAAATAATATTGTACCTCCCACCCCCGCTGACTAAGACTGGTTTAACTTCAACCTACGACGCACAAACTATTATCTTTAAGTTGCACATGTACAGTTTAGTTTTTTAGTCAAAAGCTGCTTAAAATATTTTGCACACCATTGTACTGCATATTGCATATAGTGTATATATTTTTCATTTATAGTTTTATATTTTGCAATATTCTTATGAATATGTGTGATCCTTGTACTTGTACACTTCTGTACTCTTTGCACTACATTCCCTAATGCTGCTGTGTCTAATTGGAATGTATCCTAGAGGGGATCAATAAAAGGTACATCTTATCTTAAAAATGTTGTTTAAAAAGAAGTTTTTCGGGCATATATTTAAGCAATAAGCAGGCTGGTACCAGTATTTAATCACAGCAAGTACATGATGTTAATCTGTTAACAATGTAGTCACAACGAAGACAAATCACATTTTTATTTACCTTCCAACCTGGAACATCCTTCATGAGAACAGCTTCTTCCTCTAAATTTTCTCTCATCATCCGTAGCACCCTGGTCAGAGGGGAAATATAACCGTTAAAAAAAGTGCTACCCTGAGTGCGTATCAGATTTAAAAACTACACATTTTTGTATATATGTAATGTAATATATGCAATATATTTTTTTGTCACCTTCGGTCTTCCTCCGCCTGCAGCAGGGGCATCAGGGCTATCCTGGCCTCCATGTCTTCAATCTGCAAACGTCTGCAATGCACCAACACACCTGCTATCAACACTACTATCATCGACCAGCCTGGTTGTGAAATATTATACAGACTGTCACAAATATTTACACCCAAAGCATAATTACAAGAATTATCCTACCTCCTCTCTCTGTTCCACTTAAATAGCCTCCAGTAACCGAACATCATGATGCCGATGCCAATGCCGAACATACTATACCCTGTTGATTAAAGAATTAACAAGTGACTCTCCACAGATGATTTAATGTTATATCCCAACCACAATATTACCTCACTTTCAAAATGAATCTATTTAGACATCACTGACCCAGAAAAGCACACGTTATCAAACATGATGTTGCAAAGATGGAAGAATTAACCTCTAGTAACCTGTGTGTTTAAGAACAGATCATCACAAGGAACTGAGATAGTGACAACTGATCAAATTGGTTTATGTGCAGAATGTTAAAACAGCAGCATCAAACGTAAAAACCTTTGTCTCACAGTTAACCTCAGATACACACCCATCAGAAAATGAGTATTTCTATTGCCAGAACCTGCTGGACCAGAGGAAGTGCTTTATTTAAAAAAAAAAAAAAAAAATAAAAAAACATTGTGACACCCCTAGTTTCCTACTGTGTTGCTTTCTTGGATGTAATTGCATATTTTGATGTCTTTATCCATTTTGTTTTTGTCAAATTGGTTACAGGCCAAAATAAATTTTAGTTTCATATGTGAATATAACTGTCGTTGTGTGTAGGTGATATAATTAACTTACAGTAGCACCAGCTCACAACCTTTGTTTGGTAGCAGTAACTGTTACAGCTGCCAGATTCCTACAGCTGTTTTTATCCACTCATAAGGTCTTGAGATCGCAAAAGGTTGCTTGCAAACCATTTTTGACTAGCAAGCTGCAAGAGGTCACATCTGGACATTATTATTACAGTGATTTTTATATATTTATTTATTTTTCAAATTTAAAAGTTCACCAAAGGACAACAGGTCAGCCTTTGATCATGTTCCCCCTCTGCCATGACACTGCTTACATTGAGTCTGCGTACAGGGGGTGTAGGCTGCCAAAAGTGAGCATGAGCAGCTTTGATTTTTAAGAGTGAGAAGCCATATTGCTGCCTCAAATGTAGTTACAATACCTCTTACATGCTCAAATAATCCAATACTTTCACAAGTCTGTCCTCCCTCATGCACAAATCTAAGGCTGTGGCCCAAATCTGATTTATTTTTTATTTTTTTTTGCACAAATGTGACTCAGAACTGTTGACAGAATGTGTACCTGTGTGCTCTCAATGTCCATACTGTAGGCGAATGTAAAGTATCAGTGTAAAATCTTCATTTGTTCACCAGGTGTTAGTCTAGCACACAATCAGATGGGTCACTAAGGGCAACAACAGTTCCAGGTGAGAGTTTAAAGCACTGGTCTTATGATTTCCACTCAGAAACTAAGCTGTCTATGCTTAGTTAAGGAAGTTGTAATGACCTGCAATAAATAAAAAAATTCTAAAGCTCATTTCATTTAAAATTGTGTGTTAGCTAGTTAGCAAGAAGCTATCGCCACTACAAACACCAATAACTGGCACACAATGTGGTTTAGTCACTTAATTTTCTCAAAAAAGACACACATGTCGTTCCTCTATCTGTCAGTCATCTATGTGCAAGCCTCAAACTACCTAAAATGAAATGTCAGTCGATCAGCCTGTGTCTACTGACGCCGCTCCGTTAGCATTAGCCGCTGTGTATTGATTCAACCTGCGCCCGTCTAACGGCTGAGTGACCCGTACAGATCGATAACTGAGTGTGTGATGTAAAGTACCCGAGAGTCCTCGTTTCGGAAGGTTTCTCTTAAAATCAAACGAATCGTAGCCTCCCGGAGGAGGCATGTCCTGCTTCACCTTGGACCCCGCCATCTTCCTCCTGCTTCTCCACAACACGCAGGTGACGTCACTGCGCGCACGCTTCCTCTCTCTCGTGCGAAAACTGATCGCTCCCGGTGACGCTCTACCGCCCCCACCTGGCTGGATGACCACCTCTTTGTTTTTATGCGTTTTATGGTACAGGTTATTTTAAAGGACCCCACCAGCTGTTGTGGAATAAAAGCTGATGTTTTAGTTTTATCTTCTCGACAGGGCACTGTATTATATAAATATACTATCTTTTTGTCAAATTAACATTGTTGTGTTATGTCATTGCAGTGTATGCTCTCAAAATCAAAACTGCATTAACACGCAGAAATGTAGCCTTTTGTTAAATATGACCTCAAGAGATCGCATATAAGCATTGAAAGATCCTTAAATAAATGAAGCCCATGTACACCATTACAAGTTAAAGTCCTGCATCCCAAATCCTTCTCAAGTAATTTACAACTGGGTTGTTCTATATTGATTGTCATACTTGAATGTACAGAGGGCAGGGCTCACAGATGCCAGTTTGCCTTCTGGCTGTTATATGTACTTTTGTATGTTAGTCTTTAGTATTCTTTCTTCACAAAATGTCATCACACCTACCTGTCTTTCCTGTTTTTGTCTCACATAGCAACTGCTAGTTTCCAGATCAGCCTTTATGCTACATTTCTGCTCTTTGAAATGTCCATTATCCTTATTGCCCCTCCAGTTTCTACTTAACCTCGGATGTGTGGAGGAGCTTTGAAAGGACACTGATCCGAAAACCGCTCTGATCAGTTCACTGGTTAAATTTGTCAAGATACAACAGTGAATGCCAGAGAATTGATTGAACAACCCATTCCCTGATCATGTGAGAGTCAGAGCACATTAAGTTCTGTTTATAGATGAAATGTCATAGTAGTTTTATATGATCCAGTTAATAAATAAAAACAAGTGTTTAAAATGTATATTTTTTTTATTATTTCTTTAGGAGCTAGGAAAAAAGTAAACCAAATAAATTTGATGATAAGTTTGTACAATGCAGTTAAGATCAGGAAGCAGAGAAAATATGTAATATGGTGAGGGGTAAGATGATGGTCTTATGTATTCCAGGGTCTTGGTAGTTGGGAGATATTCCCTTCAAGAATTGTATAAGTATATGCCGCATATTGCAGAGATTATTGTTGAATAAATCAGAGAGGAACTCTGGCTCCAGTGTGGCAAATTCAGCTCCTTCAGAGTTTGCATTTTCTTAACGATGACATAACACTCAAAAAAAATCTTACAATGTTGACATTAATATAAAATAAGCAAATTACAGATGGTAATTACAGATGAATTAAGCAACGACACCATGCTTCTTCAGCTAAGGTGCAAAATGAACAGAAGGGTTAAGGGTAGGCATGCCATTAAACGGGGGAAAAAACAAAGCTAGAATAAACTCTTCATTTGTGGAAACCACAATATACTGAGTGATTTTTAACAACAGTCAAAAAAAAACGAAATAACTTACTGTAAATAAAAAATAAATTCAAACCTTAAACAACAGGGGTGACAGACTGAAAATTTGTACAACTTAATTATTTTGCTTTTTCTTAAGATAAATGTGTATTTTGTTGAATGTGAACTCTTGGGTATGACTACAACCATTCAAGTGTCAAAAAGGTTGGATCAGTCTGACCCACATTATGGCAGAAAGAGCATATAAGCCCAGAACTGAGTACTCATTTTTTTTTTATCAGAGCACTCAATGCAGACACATTATCACACCATCATTTAACCACCCAGTCTGGAGGACAGAGGTACCCAGGGGGAAGCCCTTCAAGTATTCAAATCAAAATTGTTTCTGCACAATTACCAAAGAACAGCGAATCTCAAAATAAACAACAGAAAATAAAAAAACTAAAACAACAATCATACAAAGGTAAGGAAGGATCATTTCTTCACTTTAGGAGATTGCATTTGCTTAAAAATCCTCCGGGGGTTGCTGTTGACCATATTATTGGAGCTGAGGAAACTTGGACAAAAACTAACAATGGATAGTAGAGTACAGTTTAAATTATTTCCATGGGTTTGCCGTCTGCGAGATCGATGAGCGAGAGGGGATCATGTCCAGCAGGTACTCCCTCTGACGAGCGTCGACGGTGGCTGACGTCTTGTGACCCGTCAGGCTGGGGTTCACGTAGGCCATGGTGACTCCTGTGGAACACATGCAACAGAGCAGCAGGTCAAGGCGTGGAGCAAGTGGCGTGTGAACGGAATAATGCTTTTGGAGTTGAATAAGAAAAAAAAAAGAAGTTAGCACCTGAATATGTAACCACCAGTGTCCCCAAAACACACAGAAAGACACAAAGGAAAAATGGCTACTCTAAGGTAAAGCAGTGACACCGAGGGAAAAAATAATGAACCACCAAACGGAGGGTCTAAAGTAGGAAGGTTGAGATCACTGGCAGGGAGAGAACTGGAGAGTGGGATTGCCTTGTCCGAAAACATTTCCTCCTGTATGTTTCTTAACTGTTATTTATTTTTCCTCTAGTGCGTGGGATGACACTAGATTGCAACTTTTGTATAGGATTCCTTAACACCAGAAAAAAGGATGGCACTAGGATGCTCAAGGATTGCTTTTGGACCAGACAGGAATTTGAAAAAGAGGAGATGTCAGGCGCCAGAGTTGGGCCGGTATCATATATTATATGTGAGTCTACCTGTATTGCTGTTGCTCTGCTTCTTCCATGCAGTGGATGAGGCACTACCTCCGCTGATATTCCTGCCGCCGACGATTCCACTGCTGCTCACCTTTGAACTCTGGACAGAGCGGTGGGAAACATGGGCGTGCTTACCTGGCCGGCTGACCAAAGCTGCCGCCGCCACCGCACTCTGCAGCTGCGAGGAGGAGGAGAAGGAATGGGGGACGCCCCTTAACCCCACTGATGAGACACCATGGGACAGCTGACCCTGGGAGCTCTGAGGAGAGTTACGAGAGGCAGAGAGAGGGGTTTTGAGTTACAGTTGCATCGACTGCACAAATGTTTCCCTTGAAAAGAAAAGCGGCTTCCAACCTGCTTGATGGAGTGATGGTGAAGAACGTTGGCTCCTCGGCTGGCCTGGTGGTGGTGCTGGAGGGAGGACGCTCTGGCCTGGGCCTGCTTCAGCTGCTGAGACACCAGCTGCTCTGCTTTCAACGACGAGGATGAGGAGCTACTGTGGGAGACCCGTGAGGACGTCTGCTGAAAAATACCCTGCTCTATTTCCTGCTCTTGTTGCAGTGCTTTGACAAACGCACCTTTGAGCCTATTGGTATGCTCAGCTTTCAAAGCCTTTTTCTGATTGGATGACATGCAGTGTTCACAGAGGACTGCCCCTCCCTTTGTCTTGTCGTGCCTCCAGCGGCAGGTGAAGTCAGTGTTGCATTGGGTGCACGTGAAGGGTTCGTTGACAGTGGTCTTGGACAGTGCTACACCTGTCTTTCCTGGATGGAGAGGATGGAGGCATTGATTGAAACAGACAGAGGTGCTTTTATGGGGTCAAAGAAGCAATTACAAAGAAATATATGCAGGTAGACAAATATTTAAGTCCTGGGTAAAAGTGTCCTATTGTTTTCTCAATTGTAGACTAGTTGTGTGGTCTAAAATGCCCATTACCATTTACTAAAGCTAGCAAGGAAATTACACAAACTGGCTTGTTTTGTCCAACCAGCAGTCCAAACCTAATGCTATTCAGATTATCATCATTTATAACAAAACAAAGCAGCAAACCCTCATAATGTAGAAGCTGGAACTAGAGAATGTTTGGTATTTTAACTTGAAAAATTACTTTAATGATTAATGCCAATTATTTTGCCAATTATTTTTCTTTTAATCAATTAATGGACTTATCCTATTATCTCTACAAAATATAAACAGAAGCCTAACCTCTGTGGATGGTATCCAGCAGATTCTGTACCACTTCTTCCAGTCCCACCAGGTAGATGAATTCATTATTAGCTGCAGAGGGCAGGAAGTTAAACTCCGGAGCTGGGGGCTTGGGTGGAGGAATCTCCAGGAGTGTCTTCTCCAGTTGTTTCCGCAGGGCGAGTTTAGCTGCAGCTTGGCGGCTGGCCGGAGAGTCGTTCATGCTAACCACAGACAAGCCTGAGGAAGAGCCCTTCAAACTGGATGGCGAGGCCTTTAAAAACAACCAGAGACAGGAAGAAACAAGACAGGTGTAAACATCCAGTCAAGATCAGAATATCTTTGACTTGCTTGAGCAATACAGAAGGTAGGTTGATTAATTGCAAGGTGTTTAATGATCAAAGAACACTGAGCAGACAGTTGGTGCCCGATTCTAAGCTTCTGTGACAATTAAAAATCTGCATATATCAGAGAAAAACACTTTTTTCACAAGACAAGAATTATGCTGCCACACACACACACACACACACACACACACACACACACACACACACACACACACACACACACACACACACACACACACACAAAGAAGACATGTGATGGTTACTATATGATTATTAACTATAGCTTGTAATACATTTATATCTATGGACCAGTTTTGTTTTGTTTTCATAGAGGGGTTTGTTATTAGCCTCCAGGAATTTTCAGCAAAAAGCATGCATTCAATTGGACTGGGATTTTTAATGCACAGACATACAATGCCAAGATACAGTCTGCAGCTGAACCACCTGCTCTAGTGACCTGCTAGCAACGTTGGACGTAGCTACTTATATTTTTATGGACTGGAGTCAAGTGAGCTGTCGTTCATGAAAACCACACCGAAATCTATGGCTGCAGAGGCCGCTGTTGCCCATTGTCTGCATGCGAGTCAACAACCGCCATGAAGATGAGCATGTACACAAAGTCGTTTTGTTTGTGTGTTTTATGTTTTTATTATTTCTTCATTTTATAAAATTACCTATAATCTAAAAATTGTCAATTTGTGCCAGCATGAATGGCATTTGCATTACGTAATCTTAAAACTCTTAAAATAGGCCTTCATTAGGTAGTACATACTCTTAGATAACTGTTTTACAGATTTTACTGTACAGGAAAATTAAATTAAACACTAATTGAGGAACCAGCATATT